ATTTATAGTAAATAAGCAGGCAAATTTGCCTGCGAACCTCTACAGTTTAAGGGATAAGATCGACTCAAAAATTTTAAACATCCTTATCGGGCATTAAATTCAGTTTGAAATTTAAATTTGGACTGCCCGAAATTGAAATTTCGGAATGGATCTGCCCCAATTTAAAGTTGGGGGGCACAACATATGCAAAAAGTTGGTTTATACTAAGTCATCAAAAGAAAAGGATCGTCTAATTGATTAAATTTAAATATTTATCTCATTACTATCAACGATTTTCATACTATTGAATAAATTTGGTTATGATAAGTCTAATAAATAATTTATATGAAATATTTTACATATTTACCTTTTCAAGTGCAGATAAGCAAGCAGTATTTTGGAACACGTGAAAATTCGAGCTAATCCAAAAATATAATTGTATTTGTTGACTTGCCTATCAAACATTGTGATACGATACAAAATAAATGCGGAGATTTATTATTAATCTTAGTAAAGAGATTTTTCTCCTCCTTTATCGGTCTTCACATTATTGGCTTCCGACAAGCAAAATCATTTTCTATTAATTTACGGACCACTTCATTATAGATTCTTATTTTGATAAATTATCTTATGTTTATCATTAATACAATTTGGCCGAGAAAGTGGACACTAAGATTCTAAAAAAATTCATATTAAGAGACTCTAATATAATACAAAATTTTGACTATTTAACTCCTGAAAATCTTTTACTACGCATGTTCATTTTGCTTTTCCATTTATGGAATTATATTTAATGCAATTGGGGTTAAATTTTTTTATCGTTTAATATTATCAAAGTAATTTGTATGTTCTTTCGTATTTGATAAACACCACTTCTTATTAATTGTATGTTCTTCGTGTTTGATAAGCACCACTTCTTGTGAAAAACATACAAATCAATTAATTCAAAAAAAAAAGATCAAAAAAATTAGTAACGTTACAACAAGGAAAAAAATTTCAATAAATTCCCTCTTGAAAATTGGATGATAATTTATTCACAATTCGTTTTGAATAAAAAAAAATAAAAAAAAAGCAAATTGCTTCTTGTGCAAAGAATTGACCTTTTATCATCTAATATCTTTCCTTTCAATAGATACTCTACATTCGTTTTTTCCTCCACCCCTTTTTTAAACAATTCTTGAAAAAAAATAAAAAAAGTAGTAACTCTCACAATGAAGACCTTTACATTCTTCCTTGCACTCTTTCTTGCTTTCACGGTTATTACCGCAGAGGATAACGAAGAACAATGGTTTGCCAGCTCCATAAATCCTTTTGATCAAAAGAAACGGGACATTTCGGCTAAAATCACCTTTTATGAAGGACATTCACTTGATAACGCTGCTTGTTATGGTCGTGATGGACTTCCTGAATATGACGCAAAATCAACTGATTTCATTGGTGCAATGAAGGGCCTAAATAATTGTTACAAATGTCTTGAAATAACTAATCCAAAGAACAAGAAGAAAGTTGTCGTCAAAATTATTGATAAATGTGCAGGTTGTAAAAAGAATCAGGTTGATTTAACAAGAACTGCTTTTTCTAAAATTGCAAATCCCGATGATGGAATAGTAAATATTAAATTTAGAGCTGTTTCTTGTCCATCAAAAGGTAGATTCCCCACATTCGAGAAAAAGAAGAAGAAGAAGCAGCATTAAGGATTTAGACTTGAGAATTTAACGGGTTTTATCACATTATATTTGTGGGACGGATTTGTTTTTTTTAGTTTTTAGTCTTGGTGGGTCTATGCTTAGTGAAAAATTTTGTCTGGAGTCGAGAAGCATTTCCGTTACTGAATTTGTCCGATTTTTATCATTTCGAAAAAAAAAATATACATTTACTTTTCCGAAAGGTGATATTCTTAACTAGGTCGAGTTTGATTTCAGGAGAGTCTTCATAGATTAGTTTTTACGAGATTTTTGTATTTTAATTTTACATAGAATTACTTTTATCTTTGGTGCGCGATAATTCCTGATCGGCTGGCCCGATTTCAACTAATTTTAGCTTGTTGCTATTAATAAAAAAAATTAAAAAATTAACATTTACTTTCTATTCATAACACGTGAATTGTGAATTGTGACGTTCATTAATCTTCCCCAGCTGCACCAACAATTATATCAGCCAATCGGAGATCCATTATCACGTGCTCAAATAAAGTATTTAAAAATGATCAACAACTGGTTTTCCAGAAACACAATCTTTAAAAGTCTCTTTTCAATGGTGGGGAAGTTGATTATTTATCCCAAATTAAGAATGATGGAATGCGACACAATCTGCTCGTTTTAGAAATTATATAAACTGCTTATCATTAAGCTCATTAAGCTTCCCCACCTTTTATTTAACTAAAATATCATGACTTCTGTGTATACCGTGAGTTTTACTTGAATCTATTAAACAATTGTGGCTTGGTCCCAAAAAATATTGACGCATAATGATCCGTTTATACTAACTTTTTTTGTACCTTTCGATAAGATAAATTATGCTCTTCGAGCTCATAAACGTGATCCATTTATCGAATTCATAAAGGTAATTTAATTTATATTTTCAGAATATTACTAAAAAAAATTAGTTTTAATTTCTTTTTCAAATTCAATGTACCAATAGGGAATGCTTATGACCCCATTCGTTCTTCACGCGAGACCACTTCCACATATCTATGATCCAACTGAAAAGGAGGATTCCCCCGGTGACGATGATTATCATATGGATGCAAATGTTGCTAGGTATTGTGACATTTTATCAAGCATTGAAGAATTGATCAATGTAAGTATCGAGTATTATGAAAGTAAAATGGTAAAATCTTTCATGATTAAAAAAAAAAAAATTTACATAATTTCTTAGGAGCATATTCGAAAACAAGCTAAAGGTTTAAATTTATTCATTTAATTAAGCCTCTGCTTTATGTCTAATCTTAACCATTCCGACTTTTAAACGTTAGGTGTTCCTGACCAATCAAGACTTAAAAGACTTGTTCCTTCCATATCAACTTTTCATACTCAGTTACCGCTACGCGAATCATTTTTGTTAGCTAACACCAAGCATTCTATTGCTGCGCGTAGATTTGTACCTCCAAGCTTCAACGATATTCGAAGGTTTGTTTATAGAAATTAATTATTTTCGCGTTTAATTAACGTTTTCTCGCTTGTTAATTATCTTTTAATTAATAGAATATTGAACACGGCACAGGTATGAGTTATTTAAAATTGATCCAGTTTTACATTAACTTTAACTAAATGGTTTCAACGGTTTAGAACATTGCAATCGCGCCAAAACTCAAATTAATAACATTGTAAGTAAGGAAAACGATGTTTTATTTTGGATCTGATGTTCACCTTTTTTTTTTCGTTTAATCTAGTGATGGGGATATGACACTTTATGATGATGGGAAAGATTTTGAGCATGATTCAGAATTGGTGAAATTACTTATGAAGTTATTAGAACACGATCTGTATGTTTGTGTGGTTACAGCTGCTGGATATCCTGGAGATGCTTCACGATACGAACAAAGACTATCTGGTTTATTAAAAGGGTTTGAAAATGCACGACTGTCAAAAGAGATGTGTGAAAAGTTTTTTGTGTTGGGTAAGTCAATAAAGTTTGTGGGCACTCGTTCGTTGATTTAAGATTGAATTAGTCCTTTTTTTTTTGTAGGAGGTGAATGCAATTACCTTTTACAATGTCAAGATAATTATCATTTAAAATATCTTAAAGAATCGTAAGTTTTATCATGTTAAAATATTGTTTTATATAGTAGATGTAGTTTCAGTTGTAGCGTATTATTTCTTGACATATAGTGAGTATCAACCACAATGTATCCGCTCCTGGAAACCTGATCAAATTAAAGCCATATTGGATTTAGCTCAAGAGAATTTGCAAAGATGCATTGACGATATGAAGTTGCCGTGTACAGTTTTACGTAAAAGCAAGGCGGTTGGTGAGTATTATTGTGAGTTTTTAATTTAATTTACAACATCATTTTAACATTATTGGCATGACAGGTATCGTGCCTAAACCTAATGTAAAGATATTTCGAGAACAGTTGGTACGTTCTAATTTCTAAGTACCCTTTTTTAATAACCCGTTGGTTACTTGTCAATTTTTTGATTCCGTATATAAATTCATTAGGATGAGTGTGTATTATCTACACAACATCGAATCGTGAATTATCTACAATCACCACGGGGAAGTGAGAATTCACTGCCATTTTGCGCATTCAATGGTGGGAGTGACGTATGGGTAGATATGTGAGTAGAGAATATGTTCTTTGATCATAGACATTTAAATGAATGTCATTTAAATGTCTCGTTGTTATTTTTTTTATTATTAGTGGGAATAAACTTATAGGGGTACATATATTACAAGAATTCCTTGGCGCAAAGCCTCATGAAACTTTACATGTTGGGGATCAAGTGAGTGAAACAAAATTTAACCTATGAGAATGGGTATGAGACTTGTTTATTTAACGCATTTTCTTTAATTATTCCTAGTTTTTGTCTACCGGAAATGATTTCGCTACAAGGCATCAATGTTGTACATTATGGATTGTTAGTCCTGTTGAAACACAAAATGTGTTGGTCGAATTAACCGCATTATTGGAAGCGAAGAAGCCAGAACGAGTTGTAAAATAACCATACTTTAGTTACGGATGTCCTTGATTATTTATTTATTTGTGTTAAATGCTTTGTTGATTTTATATCAGTTATCGATCCTTTTTATTTAAAACTATATACAATAAAATTTTGCTCGGCCACCAAATGACGCGCCCGATTTGTTGATTGGATGCTTGATCTTTTGTGCAACCATTTGCGAAATTACATTTTTTTCGCAATAGAAAAAAATATATTAACATTAAATTAAATGACCTTGGTCTATTCGACTTGATTGATATAAAATTGATGGCATTTCCATCAAATACTTCACGAAGCGCAATTAGTTTCGTTACAATTCAAGCACGCTTATATAACGATTCGATAATCCGAATATTTTCAAACTTGCTAAACAGATTTGCTTACTTGCTTACACTTGGAAAAGCTGCTGAAATTACGCTACAAAGTTAAAAAAACTTCGTGAAAAGTACTATTTATGGATTTTTAAAGCTAATTTAAAGACAAGCAACATTTGATTTAACCAAAAGTACTGAAATTACACTGTGAAATAAAGAAAAAAGGGAGACGCAAATCAAAAGAAAAAAGTTGACAATCATTCATGAAGTCATTTTTTATGAAAAATTTATTTTTTTTTAAAAAAAACAGTTATTATAATTACATTTTGTTGTTTTACATTTTTGATTACATTTGATTTACATTCTTTCTTTCGAGGGATATTAAATAAAATTAATTTGATGATGGTAAATAATACACAATGAGTTTTTTTTTTTTTTTTTTTTTCTTTTTTTTTTTTAAGAAAAAAAAATTTTCGTGATAAAATAATTGTAAAAAATAAAAAAAAAATTGTAAAGAGTATTATTATTATTATTATTCTAAATTAAAATGAATGTGTATTTTTTTTTTTTTCATCCTCTCTTAAATTCGACCAACCTTCTTCCCTCAATTTTTAAGAAAAATGATGAAAATGAAACTACCATTACTACGATACCAAGTACCATAAACCCAGTTGGAGTGGCTTCAGATGAATAAAGTTTGAATACAGCGTTGAATGCTACACCACCCATGTTTCCTCCCGCACCGACCAAACCTGATATAGCTCCCACGATTGCGGGGTCCACAAAAGGCACGATACCGAAAGACGTCCCGCAACATGCCTAATAAATGGAAAGAAATGATTTAAGCAAAGCAATTTTTTTTTTTTTTTTAAACAAACGCGTGAGAACGATCCCTTGATTTTCTTACCTGAGTGAAATAACTGAACAAGATTAAAATGACGATAGCTTCACCTAAATTCCTCAAGGTAAATCGGAAGATAAACAAGAATAAACCCTCCATAAATAAGATTACAAATTGTATAAGCAATCTACCACGTATCCCAAACTTTTCATTTGCAAAGTCGGAAAGGAAACCTCCGGTAGCACGTGAAAATAAGTTCATCAAACCAAAAAGTGAACCGATCAAACCGGCATTTTTTTGTGAAATATTGAAATGATCATGAAAGAATACCGCCAAAACATTATCTACGGCAAGTTCCACACCAAAAGCACAAGCGTACATGAACATTAAAATGATGACATTTGGATTCTTAAGCGCCATAAAGAATTGTTTAGCGCCTGGTCTTGGTGGAGTATCACGATGAACTTGTTTTTCTGAATCTTCAATGGTCGTAACATCATCTTTCTTTTCTGCACTGGCTTTATGAACTTCCAAAGGAACGGTGGGATGAAGCCAATCACCTTTTGGACAATCATCGGTGAATAGAAAATCGCACAATCCAACAATGAAGCAAAGGACAGCAGGAACGATTAGAGTGACACGCCATGATAAAGACTCAGACAAACCGGCAGATTGATTGAATCCTTCAAAGATTAAAGGCATTAATACGTAAGTGATACCGGCTCCCATATTTCCCCAACCTCCTACTAAAGCATTAGCGCTTCCAACCACTTTACTGTCAAACATATGAGTCGTCCAGAATTGACACGGTACAAAGGTTGCACCAAGAATTCCAACAAAGAAACGTACAGCGATTAACCCTTCAGCACTTTGTACCAACCCACTAAGGCCCACAGGTATAGCGCCCACCATGAGTAATACGGACATAACACGTCTTGGTCCAATGCGGTCACATAATGGTCCAACTACAATACGGAAAATGATTGTGGAAGATACGCTTGATATATTACTATCAGCAATTTGATCAGGAGTTAACTTGAGATCTTTTCTAATAGATGTCATGAGGGGTGCAATTGCAAACCAGCCTGTAAAGGCCGTAAGAAATGAAAGCCATGAGAAATGGAATGCTCTCATGTGAGGTCGTGCCCCTTTGATAAGATTGATCGCGCTGGCCTTTTGGTTCTCAGCAATGGGGAGCGGATTGGCGAATAACCTAACCATTTTGATTTTTGATTTTTTTTTAAAAAAATTTATTTATGGTTCTTAAATGTTTATTTATCTTTTTTTTTTATAAAATAAAAAAAAATATATATAAGTCGTTACAAAAAATCGAGGTCAATTCGTTTCAAAAAAGTAAAACGTTTCAAAGATTTTGGAGTTTGCTTCTATTAAAGAGAAAAAGGCAAAAGCAAAGTTCAGTTCTTAGATTTCAAGGGTTTATAAAAGTTTTTTTTTTTTTTTTTAGATTAATCTTGTAAAAGAAATTGGAAAGTTCTATCCAAATAATTTCGTATGACCGTTTAACACTCTTTGTCTTATCTAATTAAGTCGAAAATACGTTATAAAGATAAGAATATAATTCGTTCGCGTTAGCAACTTATGATCATCCGTTACATATCATAACAGATAATCTGTCTTTTTGTAATACTTTGTGCTTATCAATTATTGTAATTAGTTTTCTTTTAGAGTAGAGCAGAGCAATCAAATATGATAATGCATTGATTACGATAGTAAGAAATTGTATGTATCATTATCATTTGATAAAATATAAATTTAAAATCGTCACATTTTCAAGTTTAGATGAACAAATTTCTCTGATATTTTTCATATACGATGTTAAAAATTTGAAAAGATCATTGAGCAAAGTACCGTATAACGAACAATTTTATATATATATACGCGCTATTTATCTTATCATGAATCATGATCATTAATCAACGGTGATCTCATTATAAGTGTTAATTGTTAAATTAATTGAAAGTTTGATAAGAATTTCACCCCCTCTTTGTTCACAATGTTCAATTTGCTGATTATGGCTTATCTTTGCAATAAATCAATTTCTTTTCTTATCAATTAAAAAAAAAAAACTTAATATTGCGGGGAATTTTGTATACCCAGAAATCCAGAAAGACGCGACTTTACGATTTTCTTTTCCCAATTTGGTTTATCTATTATATTTAAAAAAATTTTATCAATTACATAATTATATATTATTTAAATATTTGACACTAACAATTGTGTAACAGTTAATGTGTGATCATATGGAAACTCCATTCTTGGTGCGATAAATATTTACTTATCTTATAATCGAGAAATTTTCTACCAATTTGGCCATAGTTCCGAAGGTAAATCTTTACTAATTGTTGAGATGTACATCTTGCGATACGCCACTTTTCTGAATTTGTTTTTCAAAATTTTTTTTTTTTTGGATTTTGATAGAAAACATTCATGTCGTACCTTTTTTTCTCATCGATAGGAATATTACCTTATCTATTGTCATTATGTTTAGGTTGTACATTTATTTTTGACACGTTTCATTGATTTACTAAATTGAGGGAAAAACTGGTTTTTTCTTTTTGCGTCCATAACATTGTTATCAATTTTATGAATGAACATTATTTTCAGGAGATAAGAAAATAATAATTACGATAAGTGATTCAATTTTAAAAACAATTTATCTCATATAAGATTATCTGAATTAGGGCATCATCAATCGAAATTTTGGTTTTTCGGAAATGTGGTCTGTTTTACCGAAAAAAAAACAAAGTTGTGACTGCGCTATCTAATTACTGCGTATCTCTTCGTCTCGACAAGTTTCGTGAGTTTTGATTCGCGTCCGCGCTCCCTCTCTATTACATTCTGGTTACAAAAAGGGCCCTATCAACGACCTAAATCATATCATTTAAATCGCCAAAACGTTCCGGGGGAGTGGCTTATAACGATCGATGTAATTTAAAAAAAAAACAATGGTAATCGATCCAACGTTTTTTTTTTTTTGTTTTATCCCCGAAACTCAGGTTTCAAACTTGTCAGAATTTGTATCACGAATGGAACGTTTGCGTGAGCCGAAAGTGGTTAATGACTTTTCACCATTTGTTTTTAAAGGATTCTCGTTAAATGGTTTATCTTTTTACGAAAAGGAATAAATTAAAAATTTTTTGTTTAAAAACACTTTTGCGATAAACACGTGTTGCATCAAATCTTTGATCATACCACACGGGGAATTTTAATTTTGTATGGTGGGAAAAAAAAGAGATTAGAAAGTTGTCCTTGCACTGAGTCAACTTGTAAGATTTTAAGATTCCCTTTAATATAAATAATGAAATATGGAAAGATTGGTGGAAAAATTGATGAATGCTAACCCAAATTTATCCTAGGGAAAGAACTAGGTAATTAACCGATCCCTTAAAACGCAATTCTCAAAAAAAAAAAAGGGTGAGGGATTAATAACTATAGCATACTACATAAATATATATGACACGTGTCAAATGTCTCTTGCGAATTCGGTTGTATTCCGGCCCGAACATATTTTTTCTGCATTCATTAGTATTTCTCTCGTGTAGCGTAAATCTTAACAAGGTAAATGAGCGGTTAAACATTTTAATCGACTTGTTAAATTTTAATTTATTTATTATTTTCAATCACAAAATCTTATCTTAAAGAAATAATTTTATTTTGACAACTATGTAAACTGGAAATTGATTCATAATAGCAGTTATGTAACGTAACAAAAAGAAAAAACCGGAATTTCTAAATATTACGTAATTCGTTCGAGAAGGTCCAAGAAAAGATCACCAGAAAATTTTCCAAGGATCACATGTAGCATTCCATGTATATAAAAATCTCTTTCAAGAACAACTACAATGCTAACTACTGTCAAAAAATAAGTAAAAATGTGACAATAATAATTGGAGGAAAAAAATTTTTTTTTTCCAAATTTAAAATAAGCCTGAAAAATATGTCTTATTTCCAGAGATGATTGGCGGCTTTCGCAAGAAATGATCCAAAGCATACAAGCCGCAATGCCAATGAGTTTCTCCATAAAATAATCCAGAAATCATGATTTAGGCCTAAAATAGTCACGACTTAAAATCCAATGGAAAATCTTAAGGCAATCGATTGTTAAGGGCAATGTAGAACGCCGAATGTCAAAAAAAATTTCAGATTTATGACGGAGGAATAAAACGCATTCCCAGAAACTGTTTTAAAAAATCTGCCAACTTTCAGCTTTAAATAAAAAACTGTGTTCTTTCAATTTAGCGCAGAAATCATGGTTGCAATGACAGTTGTTAATTATACTTTTTTTTTTCTTTTTTTTTTTTTTTTGGAATGAAAACTATCGCCCTCGCTAATTTTCACTATGGTCAAGAAACCACAGCATCTCTTGAAATCCGAGTATGCTATATCGGAGATAAACATGAGTTAAATCTTCTTAGTTTTGAGCCAATCATATTTAAGAGAGGGGACAAATCATCCCCATTGCTTAAATAATTAGGAATCTGTAAAAACTTCATTGAAATTGAAAGAAAAAATGTAAAGGTGCTTATTATATTTTTTGATCGCGTTGAATTTCTAAATTGGATAGAACCCATCCCTTGGTCAGTTACGTCATTTAATACGCCAGCTACTAGGTCAGTCATAAGAACGTAAATGTATAATACAAGTATTGATATTCGAACATCGATCCTTCTTTTTTTTTTTTTTTTAGAAAATGAAGCTCCTCAACCAAGCAAAGTTCCCATTCTATGCAAGGAGAGAAAGCCTTCGGGTTACTATCTAATGCCAATAACGATCTGATCGATCAGATTTTTGATATTCGACGATCGTCTTTTTTTTCCAATCATTCAGCCAATAATCACGTGGTGAAAATTTTTGTTCCTCATATATCAATGCAAGTTTACGAGAAATCAACGATTAAGTAATCTATTTATACGAAGAGAAAGAAACAAAATATGAATTGTTTTGATGTAACTCAAATATTTCAATACGAGTGATTTGAACCCCAAATGCAAACATTATTTAATTATTTTGGAGATTTTTACATTGAGGAAACTTGAATGCAAAAACCTTATCTATCGTTTTCGTGCGATCCTCGTGAACATAAGCAGATACCATGCCATGAAAATAATGACTTACGACTCACAAAATCGAAAGAGTACCAATTATCTCTAACGACAAGAATTTTCTTGATTTGAAATAAATGGGATGTCAAATCCGTGAAACACGGCGTTATCAAATTATTAATTAAATGGCATCTTGGAAATAATTCACATCTTACTTTGGGAAAAAATCTTCAAGTTAAAACTCCCTATATTAAATAAAATCATTTGCTCTTCCTAAAATCAGGAGACTTCAATAAGCAAAAAGATTTAAGTATTAGATTCTAATTGGCCGGATTATTTTGATGCATGATACGTGTTTATTACACCAATAATCTATAACAAACAGTAACTCGTTTGAAAAAATTAAAAAGTTATCACGATCAATAATTATTTCTTAACGATCAAGCACAAAAGATTAGCATTCATTAATTAAACGCAGGAATGCATTCCAAAATTTCGACGCACAAGAATGACCGCAGCAAAACGAAAACATAATAAAATGAGCGCCGTTTTATTCCAAAAAAAAAAAAAAAATTTTTTATCCTTCGTTGTTGCTTCCTGCGAAAACGACATTTTCACTTTCCTTTCCTTTACCCTCCCGTTCAAGCATAAGCTCTTGTTGCGGATACGTTCATCAAACATCATTCCTTTAATACTAATATAAAATAACATTTCTTTTCTCTCTTTTCGTAAAGTTCTGAATCACAACGACTGGAATTTCTTTAACCCCCTCCCCCTTCACAACTTCATTTCACCTTTAACATGAGATTCTTTAACATTTTATTCGCTTCATGCCTTATCCTCACGGCAATTGTCGTGACAAGTGCAATTGCATCAGTGAAAAGAGATTTATCACTTGAAAATGGTGGATGGTATTCCACCAAGGCCTCCGTCATGAAGGCTCGGTCAGTTGTTTCAGGTGGTAACAAGAAAGATAAAGATGTTGATATTAAAATTAAAAACAAAGTCATAAATTCTCAAATGACTTTTTATAAAGGATCAGCTCTTCAAAATTCCGCTTGTTACGGTAGAAATGGATTGAGAAATTATGATGCCAATGAAAATGATATGATCGCTGCCATATTCATGAAACAACTTGAAATGTGCTTTAAATGCATTGAAGTTAGAAATCCTGCAAATGATAAATCAATCATTGTAAAATTCATAGATAAATGTGCGGATTGTCCACCTGAATCTGATAACATTGACTTAACCCCTACTGCCTTTAAATTGTTGGCAAATCTCGATTTGGGTAGAGTTGAAATCGAATGGCGTCCTTTGAAGGAATGTCCTGCAAAAGGAAGATGGCCAATTTTCGAGGAGATTGACAATTAAATGTACCTCCACGTGATTCGTTCGACTTTATTTAATCCTGTATTTATCGTTATTAAATCACGATCTTTTGCATCATAAACACGCTTTCGAGACTTTCAATAAATAATTTTTTAATCACCCGAATATATGAATCCAATATTTCATTTTAAATTGAAACTTTTTTTTGATCAAAAGTTTTTTTTTTTTTGCAAAGATTATTGATTCTCTTGAATTATTTGCAAGAAAATCAAATTTTATTATTATATTATTTAATTAATTATTTAATTAATTACATGGAAGAAAACAATTTTTTTTTTTTTTTTTTTAGCAAGAATCGATTATATAAATATTAACGTGTCCAAATTTTTCTCGTAAACATCTAATACTAGTAATATGATTTTTCACCAGTCTTGTAGATTTCAAATAATCCGCCCACTCCCTTGCATGTTTCGTCCTTTTCGAGATAAACGACGGGGAAATATTTGTCATTTACATCCCAGTCACCGACAACGAAATCATGGTTTCCGGTTCCACATGTGGCCTAAAAAATTTCAAAGGTTTTTTTTTTTTTTAGAAAAGTCATGGAATAAAATTTCAAAAGACATAATATTTAATACTCACTTCACCCGTGTGAACAACTTTACCAGATCCTTTGCAAATAATCTTAATTTTAACGAGAGCTATATTTTTATTCATAAGTGGACTTTTGTTAGTATAATTAATAAATTAAGCGAACCAAACGATTTATTAAAAATAGTTACATTCGGTTGAAATAGAGAGAGACCACCAGCTGACGGATTGAGTGGAACCGATGGCCCATGGACCAGCGCCTGGACTTGTAACATGAATTTCTTGTTCATGAGCAGAGGTGAATGATGCAATTAAAGCGATAGTAATAAACCAAAGGGTTAAAAAATTCTTCATTTTGATTAATTTGTAAAAAAAAAAAAAAGTATTATTATCGTTGTTTTTGGGGTTTTTTTTTCGGTTTATTTGAAAAAAAAAGAGGAAGGAAATTCTCGCTGTTTAAATATCCGTTTGCGTTTCGGAGTTTAAACACGTTTTTTTTTTTTTTAAAAAAAAAACCCCCGGGATTCTTTTCCTCTTATCATGTTTTATTTTTTAGTTTTTCAAAGCCTCACTTGGGCGCTTTGCACTATAAAAAACAAAATAAATTTTATTTATATGTGAAAGATGATTTTTTTTAGTAAATAAGTCCAGATTTAACTCTAAAAAATTTGTTTTTAAAGTTTCCTTCCTTTCTAAACATTCAATTTGATAATTTGTGATGAATCGAAAACAATCCAACAAAGCCCAATATGGATGGAGTAGAAAACCGGTATGATATAGTACATCATTAATTGTGATTAAACAATTTGATTATTTTGAAGAAAAAGGCTTAGAATAAAAAAAAAAAGCGCATGTATTTATAAAATAAGTTTTTCCGAGGCTTTTTGTTAAATTACTTACTTGTGGTGGCTTTTATGGCTTATAACGAACCTATCGCGATCAAATTAAATGACATATAATATTTATTTAATGTGTACTGTATATATCTTGTCCCTTTGGTAAAAACTGTAGGTTTTGAGTTTTCCAATATTTTCACATGAAATTTTCTGGAGGGTTAAAAGTTTAGTTTTTGACGCTAAAAAAAAAAAAAATATGCCGATCTAAATCAATTTCGTATATTGGTTGCTGAAATTATCTTGGGAATATAGCAAATATGGAACTATTTGTTATGAAAAAACCATACACGTATATTTTTAAAGCATACCAAACAAAAAAAAAAAACCTTACAATACATTGTTAAACATACTGTTCAGGTTTGTGTAATACCCAATGTTCTTATGACACGATAAAAAAGGAAAGAAGGATCTTTTTATATGTAGAATTCAATCTAGGAAATTCAATAACTTTTTTTTTTAAAAAAAAAAAAAAAAAAAAAAAAAAGTGATCTCGCTAATTTAAAAATTACAAACTCGTTGCTACGGAACCTTTTTTTTTTTTTTTTTTTTTTTTTTTTTAGCACAAGAGATGGATTGTGAAAAAAACCTTGGCACATTGTTAGGAATATCATATATTTAATTGTATCAATTTTCGTAGCAAAAACCTCTTCAGCAAATATAATATTTGAATCATTTATGTACTTAACCTTTTTAAGCCATCAATTAAATACAGGTAAAAGGTTTTCTTGCACCACAATGTTAGTCCATTTGAATGATTAGGGCTGTAACCGAATCTTAATTTCTCAACATTAGTATACCATAATTGGCGTAAAGGATATGACCGGTAAGATCAAACTTCACGACCGTGGCTGTGCTGAAGCCTCGCTAAGCTTCTCCCTGTATTTAGAAACTATCCTTTTAAAATAATAATTTCAAAAAGATGTTTCTAATATTTAGTGATTGATCTCCAATAGATCTTTTTTGATTTAATAAGGATTAAGTGTGATGAGCTTCACATCGAGATAAAGAACCGTCATAGGCGTCGCCCGAAAAAAAAATGGTATCCGGCTACCATTTTTTTTCCGGGCTATGTAAGTCTGGTGTGATTCTCTATTATTGAATGATCTACTTATGTGATCCAAAAGTAAATTTTTCGTTATTTTCGCTTTGGCCAAATACGATCAAAATCCTGCTTTCTTTCTTTCCTTATAAGAAAAAATAAATTTTTTATTGTCCACGCGATTTATAATTAAAGAATGATTTTTTTTTTTTAATTTTTTGAATCGATTTATGCGTTCATTAAAAGGTGTTCGTTCAAACGCGATATTTTAAACTTTTTTTGGCGTGGAGTTCAGCTCCACAATAAGCACATGAATATCCATCAAGGTCCATATGGGACATGTCGAAAATGGGATTGAGCAATTCGTTAAATGCCGTGAATGTAAATGAATCATATGTAGACATTAAATTATAATCAAACCGAAATTATGGACGAAAATTGCTTATTTTACAAAATAAATTGTACTTTTTGATATAAAATAAAAATGAAGGCATTCCTTATTTATTTTTTTCATCTGAATTGCATCGTAACTGGAATATTCCAATATTTTCCATTACTTGACCGAAGGTACTAAAAAGTTTTTGAATAAATGTAGAATTGCCCACATATTAGAAGACACGTGATTCATTCTACAAAGTTTGAAAAGTCTAGGTTCCCAGTGCGACATAAAAAAATTTCACAAAAACATCAAATTCTCACAAAAAAACATTATTTTAAACCCTTTTGTACATAAGCTTCTTTTTATTACATTACAATTGTATAAGCAAAGAAATGGACAAACCCCATTTTTTTTATAAAAAAAAAAATTAAATATATTTAAAAAAAATATGATCAATTATTTGAATGAATAAATAAATTTTATGTTGCCTGTAATGCGATCGTTCCCATGTTCTATTTCTATAAAGGTGATGAATGTATTACAATATATTTTTCTTTTTGGATTCAGTTAAAAGTTTTCTGTTTTTTTTTTTATTAAAAAAAAAAAAATTTGATTGTTAGTTTTCAAATCCAAATCCAAATCAAATAAAAATCATATCACATTTAAAAGTTACCTTTGCCATAATAAAACCTTGTCCCATCCTCAAACCCTTGACTCCATAAATTACATTTTGTGTGTAATTGTTTACCCAAAGGTTTGGGTCCACAGAAAAATACGCCAACATCAGTAGCAGGGTACTGATCTCTCATGTTTGAAAAGATTTTATCCCAATTTGGACGACCATAATGTGTCGGTGAACGAAGTCCTGTGATAGTATCTTTAATATTTCCGTCATCATTAACAAGGATATTACCAACTTCTGAATGACGTAAACGGCCTGTTAGATAAGTGTGAATCTCAATAAACTGTTGAAGATCTTGTTCTTCTATAGCCGATAATAACGATTGAAACCACTCAAAGGAATCGTAATCACGGCAAATCCAAAAGAAGTAAACTTTTCGGAGTTTTGTGGATTTCTTTGGATAATTAACACGATACCTAATTTTTTTTTTTTAAAAAAAAAGATTTTATTTTATATTGCTCTTTATATATACAAGAAATAAAGTTCGCGTGATCAATTTCTTACCAGATACTCTTGAGAATGCTAGCAAACGGAGTGACACCTATACCGGCACCCACTAGCATAGATACTTCGAATTTGAATACATCTTCAGAAGCGCTACCAAATGGGCCATCAACCATGACTCTTGGCAAAACCTTTTGAAGTTCAAGATTATTCGTAGAAATATCAATCCCATCATATTGACTCTTGATACGATCTTTATTCTTTTTTCTTATTTTGGCTTCTTCTTCATAATCACATCCCAATTTTTTAGCCAATGCCTCGGTAAAGTCACCAACAACACGAACATGTACTGAGATGAAATCTTCCTCGGGAGCTGAAGTTAATGTAAATGGATGCCATTCCCAAAGTGAAATTTCGGGGCAACATAAGAAGATATATTGACCCGCCTTTGTTGTGATATGCTCTTTTTTAACTTGAATTTCAACAACCTTAGATGGATGCATAACGACTTTGGAGATATATGTAGTATGGCGAGCACGTATTTCTCTAAGAATACGTTCTCCAATGTAAATTGTACCGGATGCAATCCAATATTTCCAAAATGAGGCGATATCTTTGCACTTTGGTTCTCTATCAGGTTGAATCATACAGAAAGCTCCATGAAAAGCCCACGCACCAAAGAACGGAACGAAGAGATGATGAAAATACCAGAATCTATTGAAATGAGCACGCCTAGGTTTTTCCGCGGCTGTACATACCATGACAATTAAAGTTATAAGCATAATGTATCCAGTTGCCCCTGGTCCAGATATGAAATTAAGTTTAAGCCACATAACAATCCCCCCATTGGTTGCTACGGCCAATCTATAAAAATTGATCCAATGTGATACTGTGTGGACAATTGTGAAAAATAGAATAGACCAACCGATTGCTTTATGAAATTCAATATTTTGATCTAATGGGATAATGGTATTGATTGGTGTCTGACGGAGATATGAAATTAAGTTGCGGCACACAGGAAATAAAATTACGGCCGCATCTACATGGAGGACTAAAGCTGCAGAACGCGCAAATACAAAGGTAATACCAAAAGTTTCTCTTGCGGTTTTCAAATTATCGTGGAAAAGGAAATTGAGGAATGCCATTGTAAATACCAGTCCATGAATAATGATCCACATTGCGGTGAATATTTTTCGTGCACCTATATATATAAATTAAGGAAATTTGTTAATTTATTTACTTGTGACGCATTAATAAAAAAAAAGGGTGTCTCATCTTCACTTCAATTAAATTTTCTCATACGAGCAACTTTAGATATGATCGATAGCGAGCCTAATTACCTTCATTGATCATCCAAGCTTGGAACTTTTCGAAAAAAGTACTTGGTTTTAATACAGTATCAGTACTACTATATGCGTTTGCAGGGTCAAATTTGTTGAGCGTTTGCAATTTCTTTTCTGAATCGCCCCTCGTTAGCTTTTTCATGGAATCACTACGTGCAGCTTTTGTTTGTTCTTCCTTCAAAAGTAGTCTTTTAGCTGAGGTTTGTCTTTGAAGAAAAACTTCTTCAGGTTGAAGTATATTATTATTTGTTTTTTCGGTACTATATATTGAATCATCCATGTCTTCGTATACTGGTGGATATTTATTATCCATACTTCCACCATCAAAATATGGATTATATTTTTGTATGTTGTTGTTTTTGTTGTTACTCATTTTTCTGAATCTAAATCAACGAAAGTGTAATGATCATTGACCGAGATGTTTATGAGATGAAGGTATAGGAAAAAGGCTCGGCCAGCCGAGAGACTTTATGAAAAGTACGAGGAGGTAAAAGTTAAGAGGAGAGGGAAAGGAGGCGAATGTTTAAAGAATGAAAATTGATATTTTGGGGGTCTCTATTTTTTTTTAAAAAAAAAGGTAAAATTTATAAGGAAGGGAAAAGGTTTGTTATGCTATCCTTTTTTAGTATCTAATACAGGTTTTATTAATTAGTTTGAAGTGAAATGGTACACGAGAAAAATTCGGCCGATACTTTCCAACTTAAGAGATAACATCAACTCAAGGTGGTGATACGACGTTTTGAATTCATTGCTTTAATTAAAACTTGCATTAACTGTAATTACGACAATAAAAACAAGAAAATCAACCAAATCATCACATGTTTTGTTAACGTTAAAGCAAAAAAAAAATTCTCATAGTCATGTGATTGTCATACGATAAATGAATAAACGATCGCATCAGACTGTTTTTTGGATAATGAATTTTCGCTCTTCACTACTTAGAAATTCCTTTAATTTATTTAAGCATCCTAAATTTTCCTTGCCTGTTCAAATTAATTGTTCACGCGTTTTACGATCCTTGACCATGGGCGAATACCCTATTGGAAAAATATCTGATTATAAAGACGGGAACAAGTAATTTCCTTATCAAATCGCTTATGTAATTCTCCTCGTCATGG